TATGAAGAAAGAGAAAGAAAAAGAAAGCCAGTGTTTCATTTGTGGTGATAAGAATCATTTGAAGAAAGACTGTTTGCAAGGAAGAAAAATAACAGATGGACAACTTGCTGTTGCAAAAGTTAGCTATTGTAATAGCAGAAGCAAATGGTTAATAGACAATGGGGGTAGTCAAACAATTCTTAATAATTCAAAATTGTTTTTCAGAATGGATCCAGCTGGAGAAGTTGCAGTAGCCTTAGCAAATGACCAGAAGGCTAAAGTCACAGCAAAAGGCAGTGTGCTGATTCCATGTCTGGAGAAAAAGTTTAGTAACATATTATGTGTGCCTGAAATGGAGCATAATTTATTGAGAATTTACTAGTCTAGACCAAAAAGGGTTTGAGACCACATTTGTAAATGGGAAGTGTCTCATAAAAAGGAATGGAAGTGTATGTGCACAGGGCAAAAAACAAGATAATTTTTATGTGTTGCAGGGCCAAACGGATCTATGTGTCCAAACATTTGGAAATGTGGCACAACTTGATTCATGTGTTTATCTCTTGCACAGAAAGCTTGGCCATTTTAGCTTCAGAGTTTTGCAAAAGATGCAACTGTTTGGAGAAGGGTTAAACTTAAAAGGCATACTTGGACTGTGCAGTATGTAAATCATCAAAGTCCAAGGTATTTCCTGTAAGCAAGAGTAGCACAAGGCAGACACAAAAGCTCTAGAGCTGGTACATGCAGATTTGGTGGGGCCGATGCAAGTCAGTTTGAGAGGAGCAAAGTGTGCACTGGTCATTGTAGATTTGGTTTCGGATATTTACTAAAGAGTAAAATAGAGGTGCTACAGAATTTTAAGCAACGGGTAAGCTTTGTAGAAAGGAGATATAAACAGCAGGTATGTCAGAGGTTCAGAATTCATGTCAGCAAGTTTTCAACAGTGGTTGGGACAGGAATAAAACACAGGTGCACAAATCCAGAGACAGCAGCTGAAAATGGTGTAGCTGAGAGGCGGTGTCAACTAAAAAGATACTCCTTTGATCTTTTTAGCTGCGAGAAAAAGGGAGTGGGGGAAAACAGTGCATTCCTTAAGTGCCTAGATAATCACCCTGGCAGCCCAAAGTTGTCGGAGCGCAAGAATATTACTGGTGAGCATGATTGATGACTCTTGGGGATGGATGTGTCCCATTGGAGAATATACATCCAGGGGGTGGGGGGAAGACCAGGGTCACGGGGGAAATGATGTATTTTAGTATCAGCTGCATCCAGCTAACATCAACATGGCCACTTCTAATAAATCAATTTTCTCTGAGATGCGGCTAGAGACTTATGATTTGAACGGGGGTGGATTTGTTGGAATCCTGACAGCCAGAATGGAGTCTTACAAACAATGAAGGACTCACTACTGGAGGATTCTGGTCTGAGCAGGTCATGTTGGGGTGAAGCCATGTTGACTGCTAATTATTTAATCAATAGGCTGTGGAGTTCATTTATACATGATACTCCATATGCAGTGTTATATGGGAGAAAGCCATCTCTGGCACATTTAAGGATGTATATTCCAAAAACAATCAGGATACAAGGTCAACCAAAGACTAGAAAGCTCAGGTTTACAGGTTGTGAGCCTGGCTCAAAGAGCTATTGCTTTAACAATGGGAGCAAAAGAATAGTGATTTCCAGGTCTGCTAGCTTTGCAGAGCAAAATTGGAATAGATTTTATGCCATTTTTAAAATGTTTCACTTAGTGACAGTGATCCACTTAGTGATGGTAACTCACTTAGTGTTAGTGTCAGCATTCAGGGAGGAGAAGCCGAAAAAGAACAAGAAAAGGAGTCAAGAGAAGATGATGACTCAGATATGAAGCCAGAGAGGGTTGAAACAGGAGCAGTTAATGCCACACAGGTCAGAGCGATGGAACAAGGGGATTCCACCTGACAGGTATTCTGCTAGTGAAGTAAAGGTGTGTAATGTGTGGTATGAGACAAGAAACTATCAGGAAGTATTGGCATTACCCAAATTGAACAAATAAAGTGAAAAGAAGCCATGGACAAAGAAATGAAATCCTTGAGTGGACATAAAGTGTTCACATCTATGACTTTGCCACAAGATTGCAAAGTGGTAGGATATAAATGGGTATACAAAAAGAACATACTACGCAACAATGAGGTATAATATAAAGCAAGATTAGTGGCACAAGGTTTTTCACAGGAAAAGTATGCACTATAATGAGGTATTTGCTCCAACTGTAAAGAGTGAAAGCATAAGGTTGGCACATAGCCATAAAATTTGGCATTTTGATATAACTGTTATGATATGTACAGAATAACCCTTGAGTAACAAGGATATGCACATGGAAACGTTTATGAAAGTAGTTATGAATAATTATTCAGCCACACACAGCTACACTGAATTGAGTTAAAGTTTACTTTAAGAAATAGCACAGTCCAATAAACGGTCCAGGTCATATACTTATAACAGTCCAAAGAATATCCAATTACAAAATCTTCTTACTGGTTGCCTTTGTCATTTACAGTAACCAAAGATATCAAAGTATAAAATATTTAGTATTAGATAGCAACAGAATGTCAGAGATACAGAATGTCAGAGAGACAGAATATCAGAGCAAGCCATGATCTCTAGTTCCCTCTTATGGCAATCTGCAATACAATCAACCAATCGGAACACAGTACAAATCAATACAGTGATTTTGTCTTAAAGCTACAAACATATGTTGTTGGTTTATATATTGCCAACCCAACTAATTGGTGGACAGATTCCTAACATTCTCCCCTTTGGGTAGGTCAATATATAATACATTACATCTTTAAACAATAATTCTCACAACACTCTTTATGCTTAATTGCACCTTGAGCTTTTGTGAAATGATCTGCAATATTATGTTCAGTCATGCAGTATTCTAGCTGAATTAATTTATTTTGAACACACTGTCTAACATTCAAATATCTCAAATCAGTATGTTTAGGCCTTGTTTTAACAGCTAAATTAATAGCCATATTCATTGCAGATTGATTGTCTTCATAAACAATAAATGGATCACGTACAGCAATTCCAATATCCTTCCAACAATTGTTTATAATATACCATTTCTGTACACATTAATGATAGACATGAGAATTCCACTTCCATAGTGGATAAACTAATATGTTGTTGTCTAATAGACTTCCATCCTATTAAAGCATTACCCAACATTACCACTATACCTGATGTTGACTTACGAGTCATTATATCAGTAGCAAAATTTGCATCAGCATATGCAGTTAACACTAATTCATTACTTGGTTCTAAATATAATGAATAATGGATTGTGTGTTTTAAAAACCTAATTACTCATTTAGCTGCTTGCCAATGCCTTTCATTTGGTTCAGCATTATACCTAGCCCATTGGTTTACACTGTAAGATATATCTGGTCTAGACCAATTACTCAGATATGATAGACTACCGATTAAGAATTGATATGTTTCCTTATCAAACATAGGACTTTTGATATCACTATTTGTAAATTCCTTATTCATTGGTGTCTTAGCAGATTTACAATGCTCCATGTTATAGCATTTTAATAATTGGCTAATCTTCTTGGCTTGTGAAATTTTAAAATCTTTATTCATTTTCACTATATTAAGACTCAAATAATGCTTAATCTCCCCTAAATTTCTAATCCTGAACTTTTTCTGTAATCTATCAACAATATCATTTGCTTCTTGTTCAGTTTTAGTTATAATTGCTATGTCATCCATAAACAATAGTAATAGAGAAATTAAACCATCTTTTTCTCTTCGGAACAAACCAGGATCAGCTATACCAGCTTCAAAATCTGTTGAAACTAATTCCTTTACAATACATTTATTCTATTCATAACCGGATTGCTTTAGACCAAAAAGACTTTTCTTTAATTTCCAATAATCAGTTTTTCCATCATCCTTTAAACCTAATGGCTTTTTCATATAGATGGTATGTTGTAAAGGTGCATGTAGATATGCAGTTTCAACATCTACATGGTTTATTTTACATTTATTCTTAGCTGCCCAAACTAATGCTGCTCTCAATGTATTTGCTCTCAGTCTAGGTGCAAACACTTCATCATAGTCCTTATCTGACTGAGCAAATCCTTGAGCAACTAATCTTGCTTTATGGGTAATACTCCCATCCACACCAGTCTTTATCTTATACACTCATTTGCAACCTATTGCACTCTCACCTGGTGGTAACTTTACATCCTCATACACCTCTAAATCCTCTAACGATTTTAACTTCCTGCCAAGGTACCTGATCCTTTGTAGGATACAGTTTTATTTCATCGAAGTTAGAAGGTTCTGTATAAACCTGACATACAATGCTTGCTTGAAATCTGTCAGGTGGACATCTCTCCCTAGTTGACCTCCTAGGCAACTCAGTACATGCTGTTGGCATGTCCTCTTCCTTTACCTCCCCAATCAAATCCTCGTCTTCTACAGTCATAGAGGGTTCTTCTATTGATGATTCCTCCATTGAGGATTCCTCCACTATCTTATCATCAATATTATTATCAGTTGTATCAAAGTGAACATGTTAAAAATGTTTAAAACTTTTGAGAATGAGTGGGAGCTCATTTGCACTCAGCAATGCAACCTCTTGTTGCAAAGAACTTACAAAGAAGTTTTCTGAAATTCAGAAACTTACTAAAAAGAAAGGGTAGTAGGACTTGCTTTGTTAGTTTGACTACCAATGAATATGCAGAGCAAGTTATGACTAGTGGACATACGAAAGCTTCTCAGAAAGAAGCCAGCATGGAACAGGTTCTTTTTGAGTGATTTTTTTTGCTTCAAATTGTTCTTTTTTTTCTTTGTGACTTAGGTCACATAAATGGCTCACAAGATAGGAGATGCCAAAGACCTCAAGAGAGTGGATATTTCTTTAAACATATAATTCCCTGTTTTTTATTTCTTGGATTCTAAAAGGAAGCAGACAATAATTAA